GTGTGTGTGTGTGTCTACATACATGTATTATTTTGTGAGCTTTGTTTAAAACATCAATAAATGAATGAAAAAATAAAATAAATGTAAAAAGTCGAAAACAAAGTGATAAACCTCAGACTCACCTGTCAATCATCCACCTGTCAGAATCACAGCGCAGAAGCCCCGCCCCTGGGAGCGCTGTCCTCAGCCAACGGTAGTCTTGTCCGTCTGTGGCGCCCGCGTGTGATTGGCTGGATCCTGATTGGCTGTTGGCGGCAGAGAGGAGGGGTGAGAGCGGAGTGGAGTCAGCGTGAGCGGCTGCTCGTGGACAGACGCGCGCGGGCGGCGGATTAAACAAGGGTTCGGACATGGCGGGCTCCTCCATCCGGACCTCCAGCCCTCACACCGACCCTCTGCTCCACTCCGACCCGCCTCACAGTGCCTCTGTCCCGGCCGGCCCCTCGCGGCTGCCCGGCGGCAGTGTCGCGCACGCGGACTGCCGGATGGTGGACGTGCACGGCGTGCAGGTGGCGTCGTTCACGGTGGACGGTGCGGAGCTGGTGTGCCTGCCGCAGGTGTTCCAGCTGTTCCTGAAGCACCTGGTGGGGGGGCTGCACACCGTGTACACCAAGCTGAAGCGCCTGCGCATCAGCCCCGTGGTCTGCACCGTGGAGCAGGTGCGCGTGCTGCGCGGGCTCGGAGCCATCCAGCCCGGAGTGAACCGCTGCAAGCTCATCAGCAGACCCGACTTCGAGACGCTGTACCAGGACTGCACCTGCGCCAGGTGAGCCGGGCCGGAGGGAGGAGGGGGTCTGAGCACAAACGCAGCTGGAGTTGAGTTTACTTCACTGATTTGATTTGTTTATTTGAGGTTTTCTGACACCGGAAACGATCAGCGCGTTTGATCAATAACTTTAAATGAAGTGAAAGCGTTTGAGCAGCGCGTGATGAAATCAGCTGTTATTGATCGTTGTTCTTGTTGTTATTGATCGTTTCTGTTGTTTGTATTCTGTGCACCACCTTTTTAAACGGTAACTGTAACGGAATACAGTTACTCATGTATTCTGTTACACCCAGCACAGAAACGTCTGATCGATTCAGCCAAACACGCCACTGTCAGAGCCAATCACAGTGATCATAATGATGATGACGATGATGTCATCAGCATGTGTGTGACATATGGACGAACATGCTACCAAAACAACTTGAAGCACACACGCGCACACACGCACACACACGCACGCACACACACACACACACACACCTTGGTCTTTCTGCTTGCATGAGGACCGTCATTACCTTTAGGGCCGGTGGGGTCTTGTCACTCTGAGCCTGAAGGGG